GTTTAAAGTGAAATTATCTAGCCGTCCATAGTTTATTAAACTACTGCAGTGGGGTAAACTCTAAAATAATCGCTGTTTATTGCTTTAATCAAACCTAGACTAATGGAGGAGTTGATTAATCAGCTGAATACGATTCATCGTATGCACGGAAGTGAAACTTTAATTTGAAGACTGAAAAGCACTGTACAGCCGTTGTACTCAGAAGCGGTGCCAATTGATCAGAGGTGTAGTAAATGGGACTTGGAACCTCCTAGGAGGAACGCAAGCATGCTAACCACTTGACCATCGGTCTGCTGAGCAGACTTTTCCTCCTTGCCCGCACATGATAAGACACATCTTTTCTTGACCTCGTTCGAGAATATACCACACCCGATTTAAAAGTGAAATAGTTAGGTTAAGTACCGAAGAGGTAGCATACCTGACAGAAGTATTCTTCTGCAATGCGACTGGCCCATTCCTTGCACAACTCCAATGGTCGAGTCGGATTATTCACATCGGAGCATTTGATAATCATTCGCTTTAGAATAGCGCGATTCTCCGCATTGGTCAGATGTTCGAGTGGGGAGATAGTCTCGTTGGCGTTCGCGATGGCAATCTGTGAGTTGGACGATTCGTTAGTCGTGCCCACCGAACCCGATTCGACTGAGCTCATACTACCCACAGATGACTGGTCATGCATCTATATGTATCACGTGATGCGGAGTGGGGACGGGGAAGGAAAAATGGAGGAGACTGGGATAGAGTTTAACCCGGTTGATTGAACGCGTATAACAACAAAAACAGCCATGACAAGAACAAAGACAAACTGACCAAGCTAATGCTTTGCCAATTCTAATGAGTAAAGTTTAGTCATAATGAACCAAAAATAAAATTTCAGTCCATAATCATTGAATCGTGCTAATCACAAACAACGATAATGAGCTTAGAGAGCTCAGCTGCACAGTATTGCACGATTTATTTCGGGAAAAATTGCAATATCTCTTTGGGTGCATGCCACAGTTTAGGTGTTGGAGTTAAATTTGTCCATCTTTCTAGTAAGGTAGGAGGGCAAAGGTTTCAAATAGCTACTTCCGCTTACACATGTTCAGGTTTTCACCGCTTCTGCAAACAGCAGCATTCGAGAGTTTGACGTGATAAGAACATTATCGAATGCCATGATGACGTTCACCTGATGCTCAGTCTCACATGTGACGAGCAATCGATGACGACGGCATGCGGCATTGGGTGGACCTTTGACCTTGATCATTCGGGTGTGATTCATCCACCAGTTTTCTTACCCACTCAGGAATGTTCCACCATTCCTTGTCTAAGCTGCCGCTCAGTTCCCCCTCAGATAGAATTGGTGCATCCATCCTTATTTCCGTTGTTCATGAATTTAAACAAAAACCCGCTGGGATGAAAAATACTTGGATGTATAAATGATAAATTGTATATTCATGTACTCAGCTGAACAATCTCTCCTTTCTTTCTATCTTGCCAGCGCAGTTTGTCTATCAGCTGCTGCGACGTTTCTATGATGTTGCTGATGATGCTGATGATGATGCTGATTAAGAGCCCGAACAAAATTTCCTAATGTCATTTTCGAACGCACTACACAAACCTCATTGTTCGTTGCTGGTTTCTTCTAAACGTGATGTTGGCTGCTCTGTTGGGAAACGTTCTCGGACTCCAAGTACATTGTTGTGTACATCTACTCACTGAGGTTGCGTATATTTGTCACTCTATAATCTGTATTTAGCAAGTTGAATTGTTGAGGGTGATCCTTATTGTCGAAATACACCGAATATCCCTTGAAGCACCTGGTAAAAAAGTATCATCCTTGGATAACTCCAAGTTTTTCTCATCACCACACTCATTGAACTATAAGGATCGCACAGATGTAATCAAGCTGTGAAACGATGCGACACGGATGATAAATGCTGTAACAAGGATGATAAAATATGCGACAAAGCTGTGGGTGACAGGTTGTTGCCATTGGCATTATAGATAGAACGCACTAGTCAATCCAGGAGTTACCGAGAAAAAATCTAATTTCTGTTAGCTAGTAAATGAGTTTAAATTGAATCCTGGTGTTCAGGTGAAGTACTGTTAATTCTTTCATTGTATTCCTATACCATTGTTAAGTATTTTGTCAAGTGCGCCTTCCAATGCCAGAAATATGTAAGCAATTGCGTTTGACTCCAAGGAATCGGTGGTATTCGAGGGGACCTCAGCCTCAATGGAATTTACCCACAGGGCTACTGAGAACCTAGACTGAACCCTCTCATGCAATGATTCATTCCAACACTTGCATCTGAGCATAGTGACTGATCCACTTCGATCCATTTGGACACGGCCGACCGAGGCCAATTACCACCAGGTTTGTTCGTTCTCGTCTAAAGTTCACTCGATCAACGGTTGGTTAACCGGAGGGGTGAGGGACGAAGAATCAAACCCCACCTCACCGAAACATTCGGCCTCGCTCGGTAACTCACTAAAAAGGACTTTTGTTCATCTATGGAGAAATCAGCTCACTCCGACTGGAGGGTTTTTTGATAGACCCGGTCCAACCGGTGATGTGTGACGGCAGAGGAACCAATCATTTTGTTAGCTTACTGGAAGAATGCGAGTGGTTCGATTCACTTGAAGCTGAAAAGTTATGGAGGAGCCGGTTTCCCGTCACATTTGTCGACGGAAACTGGCTCGACTACGTTGATGGACGAGCTTAGGAGATATTCTAATAAACCGCTCACGCCATCACCCTTGAACGCTAGCTGCAGAACAACGTTGGACTTCGGTACGCATATCTGTTGCTCTACCTTCGGACGTACATTTTCGCGAACGAGTTCGGGTAGCCGTTGTCCTGAATTTTATCTGTGAGAGAATCAGATGTACACATTTTCCTCACACGGTAGTCAAATAGAATACGGTTTTCGAAAGACAACAATCCCTGTTGTTCGGCCGGTCTATCGAACTGTGTTCGAAGATCCAGGCATAAGTATACCTTCAAACTCGAAGACATCGTGGTAGGTTTTCTTATCACACAGTCAGTTGCTAGTATTTTTTCATGCCAGCGTGTTCCCTTTTCATGACTCCATCACTTCCCTGTTACTTTTCTCGGCCTGTCTAAACGCGATTATCTAATTTCACATTGAAGGCGGGCAGTTATCCTCCGTGATTGACTTGATTCCTTTGAAATCTTGTCCATGTTTTGCTTGTAGTCTTAACTTGCGCTTGTGTTAATGTATTGGATAGGGGTTATCTTAGCAGTAGTGTTCAGAGGCAGGTATCTGTCCCACTGATCAGACCATTCCTCACTAGGAGTTGGAGATGGAATGAATAGAAACTGAAAGTGAATTTCTCTGATTCAGCAGTTTATTTTTCCCACTCTGTTTCCAATGCGATGGTTGGCGTATAAAGCTTTTCTAGATGAGATGCAATTCATTGCAATTACAAGATTTAGGGAATATAATAAAATCACAATACACAATGTTTCGGTTCCTAGGTAACAACTAAGTGTAAAGATGTGGGCAAGAGGTCTCTTGTGCAATACAAGAGAAAACACTTTGGTCTTCAATCAGGTAATCCAATTACGAGCAAACCCGACGGCTCAAAGGGATACGAACACAATTGGGCACACTGTCTCCGCAGGTGGGTAGCGAACGCCCTAATAGTTGAAGTACGACGGCAAGCCGAGACCTTTGATCTTTTAAAATTGGGCCTCGCTCACAACTTGCCGAGATGTCTGAACGCATTAAGTGGCATGCGAACTGACTGCCACTACAGGTTTTCCCCGAAACCACAGGAGTCTACCAAGTGGACTCAACTGTTTGGACCTACAATATACTCTGCATAAGCCATGTTCCCCGTGGGCTTTCATCTTTCTAAGTTGAAGTACAATAAGACCTTTGGAAATATTCTCTAGAAGATGGGCCTCTTTTGAGGCTGTTGACGGAGACATTGTTCAACGTCGTTTTGTACACACAACGGAAACAGCCCACAGCAGCCTCACGTCACCTACTGACGGTATCTCATGCTGAAACGGTTCCATTGACTGGCTGTCTTGTTAGCCAGTCTTGGCAACAATTCTGTTTCACAAATATTAACTGTGTAGTGATACACTGTCTATACACACGAGAACAGTGGAAATAATTAACTAGTGATCGAGGAGGGGAATGCTGGGAAAAAGAAAACAATTTACTTCACCCAGGAATTATACACATCTTTTCTGATTAATCGAGAATTTCTCCTTTTGTGACGGTGTTCATGCTCTTTTAATAATTAAAACAGTATCTTCTTACTGATGGACAAGTTTAAGGGAGAAGCAATTTCGATAGCTCATGTGTGATAGATTAGGTGAAAAAAATAAACTAATGTTTGACCTGTCAATATTTTTTTGATTGCAGTTTTTCCAGTTCAGTAGGTAAACCTATTTTGTTTTTGTGTACAGGATTGCGAGGAACTATGCGAATAACGGTGTAGGGTTTTTGCACTTTAATCGTTTAACAACTAAGAAGTACTGGAGCTAGTGTTAGTCAACCAGAGAGAGTGAATGGAGGTCAGTTGAAAATGTAATTCACTTACTCTGTTCTTCTGTAAAATTGGTTTACTCAAATTGTTTATAAATTTGCTGACGTGATCAAAGTGTCGGGCCATTTCCGTCGCCAGGACCAAATCAATCATATAGCCTCGAATGGTGCGATATTCTTCTCTGAAACAAAAGACGTGAAATGCAAAATATTTTCACCATTAACCGCTAGTGAAAGGGAAGGTTACATACAACACGATGAAGAAACTATAGAAGGGATATTCTCACTATCTACGTATTGCATCTGTATAACCGCGATATTTTGACTCAGTTTTTGTTTATTTCATTCTGTTCATCGAAAACAGATGCATCAGCCGTACTGGGGAAAAAGCGAACGGGGCTAGGGAACATGTTCAAATAAACAACCCACTATCAGAGTAGACTCGTCCTATTTCATCATCAGTGACTATCCAATTGTTGGTAATAAAAAGTTTAGATGAATTATATTTTTTGACAGAAACCAACTAGCTTCCAACCAAACTGTGTTGTATATTTCTATTTGATCTCCGAGCCCGTGCGGATTGAAAGGCACCTCAAGTGCGGTTTTGGAGTAGGCTTCTGAATATTTTACGCAATTGCACCGAATTGTTACAACTGAATAGACGAGGATTATGATGCAATGGATTGAACACGCATAGATTGCATTTCCTGCTGTTCAATCCATTTTAATTTACACACTCGTCCACGGGATCATTCTTCATCGGGCACAGATTCGAAAAAGCTGACAGCTATCCATTTAGTCAGACACCGAGAAGGGAGTTCAATTCAGTCCAATTTGTACAACCATTAACCATGCACTTTCGTGCGCCGGTTTCGGTTGCTGTCTTTTGGCTACCAATTTAGAAGAAGAATAGGAGAATACAGGAAAGTTGAAAGTAGAGTCGAATAAGAAAATTGAGAATTTCAGTGCTCTAAGGTTGCAAAGAAATTGAGAAGATGCACCAACCCCACTGTTTACTGCACCCAGTCATATCACTCAGTGTCTCTAATCATCGGGTACGATCATCCCGCGGTCCCCATCCAGGTAGCCTAACGGGACCTATGTTACCAAGACTCTTGGTTAGGGTTTTCATACCCTCATGACAGGTCTTAGCTTGGCTTTATTCCACCCACTACCTGCCTCGGCAAACATCACTCGCCGTGACAACCTATTTGGTGACATACTAACACACGCCCCAACCAACGTAAACTATGGAGTAAATGAAAGGTGTATTGAGCTTGGACTTGTATCCAAATGGGGATATGGGAGGATAATCGAACGTGAGTAAATACCCTGGTGTCACGCAGTCGTGTCGTTTGGAGCTTATAGCCATCGATTAGGTCGATCAAGACACCACTAACCATACGCCTTTCACAGATGAGGGCCACGAAATACATGGAAGGTCAACTGTCAGAGGGCATTATAACAAAAGTATCTGATTGGGAATCAGTTGGTTACCTCTATGATCACAGAGCACATTTGGAATTACTTTACCTAAGATACCTCAATAAAATGAACCCTAGGTAATTCATCTACCCAACCAACGTATTTAGGTCACTTCCCAACCAACCATAACCCGAAAATGAACCAGTGTATCAATCATAAATGGAAAAATACCCTTCACATAGTACCGTTCAGCGGTAGGAAAAACAAATTTTGTGCAATTAACCGCTAAGAATCTGAATGAAGGAATGAAGAGAAGCCGAGCGCCGCCATACTGCCAGAAAAGAAAATATAATTTTCAGTACTGAGGAAACATTTGCAAACAAATCGATCAACTGGGCGAAGATCGATGGAAACAGGTTTCTGCACTTTTTCCTTAATAGTCATTCAAGATCAAGTGGAATGATTGACGGGTCAGGAAATTCATTAATAAAGAACAACTTCGTATCAGGGACGTGTGTGTGTGTAGGCGACGGAGAACTCACACATAAATTCGTTTTTTGGCTATCAACTCAAAAAAGCTCATGCATCTCAAAAGCCGAAAAATAATAATTTTTTATCGGTCCACCGTCATTCGATACAACAAAAGGGCATTCTGCAGGACTAGGGTGACGCGCCAACCATTAACTCGATCTGACTCATCTGCCCTGATAAAAAATCAACACAACGATGTGATTCTTGTCCTGCGGGTCTTTTCGGCTGCTGNATCCACCTAATCGCACACGAATCGTAGAAACGTGTCAATTTTTCATCAATAATTAGCTGCAGGAATGGAGAACAAAAAATGCACACGTTGTTCTCATAGAAAGCATCACTCTGTCCGAAGTTTCTCATTCACTATCGGTAAACCTGTAATTTGCTATCTCACTGTGTTGTTCCCACGCTCTAGTCGAACTAAATTAGTGTACATCTTATTGACCATCTCAAGAAGTTAATTTTCCGAGGGGGCNNATCTGAGATATCTGATTCATTTGCGGTTTGTGTGAAAAACACCTATTATGGAGCGTTTCTCATGAGCTTAAAACAGTGACAGATACACCCCGGTCTCTGCTTGCATTTATGTGAACTAAATTTAGCAGTTTTCTCACAATCAGTTTCGTTTTATTTGTCTGTCTCAGTTTTTGTGTATACGTGTTACCGATTTCCAGTTTTTTTATCTTCTAGTCCCATTCCGTTTGGTGAGAATAGGAAAACTCAGGCTATAAAATGTTTCGGTCACCTTAAATCTTTGTCACTCAGGTATCTTATTCTATCGTTCAACAGCATGAACCCCGTACATTGTCCATTCACATCAAACTCATGCAGGTTGAGTTAACTGGAGCGCATTGATCAGTGCAATGAGTTATAAGGTAATTTAGCACTAAAAGCAACCCCCATGTAATTTTGATAAGAAAAACTTTACAAAACTTATCTTCAATTAAATGAAATCCAAATGTACTGGTAATAAAGAAACATGCAAACTTGGCATGCCGTTAAGAGAGATATTGTTTGACATCTAGTTCGAGTCAGGTGCGATATTATTTAAGTTAGGAGAGAGGATATGCTTTGAGACTCGACAAGCATTAAGGCAGGAACTATGCCAAGGTCTATTGTCCAATCCGGATCTCGAGCTCAGAACCTAATCGTGATGAACAGATGGATAAAAAGAAAACCAAAAGTAACAATCACAAGTAACACATCCAAACACAAATGGGGTCTCTGACATCCATGCGTCTATACAAATTATCTACCTTCCTCAAATTCAAGCATATCTACGCGCTTTTACGGTATCAAGTTCGGATTAGCCCATTCTATTGTTCAGATGCACCAGGTACTCTTGGTAAGGGTTTGAAGTCCCAACTCGAAAGTTCGCGGTTTGAGTCCTAAAAGGGACACAAAAAGTATGCACTGCTGGCGAGTCCCAAACAGGACGAAACAGCCGTCCAGTGCTCTTTGTCGGTTATCACAAACGTTTTCATCGCATATCAACACGTATTATAAATATATACACACTCTCGCGCACACTGAAATTCGATTAACACAGATCAAGAGCTATGCAGATGAGAGAAACTGATGGTGCTCAGATGGGGGTCACTAGGATGAGAGAAAAAAGTTTTGGTTTCCCAAAACAAGCAAATATACAATGGTCATACGTGATGTGACTTTCCCCTAGTCCCCAAAAAATAACATGTTGTTGCTGTTGAAATCGGAATGATGAACGGTGAAAAGGCAGGCGAACATTTTAATGTGGAAAATGTTGAAGTAGCACAATACTTCCACACAAATCTTCATAACGGTATAAACATTCGATTGAAAGATAAAGATCCCTATTGATAAAGCTCTTTTTTCGACCGCTTGAATGGAGGAATATGATACCCCATTTGGCAATGTGAAAGAAAATATTTAGGAAGCAGTAGGTAGTGGAAGAAAACGTGCGACTTGTCACACAAGCATCGCAAATCTTATCTGCTTATCTTGTTTCATCAGCGCATTATCTCAATTCCTGCGAGTAAATCGGCGAAGATGCATGGAAATCTGGAAGTAGATGATTATCACAGTTGGCGGATTTCCTGTACACAATCTGGTGTCATATGCAGATAGAATAGTTGTGCGCTTGGGAGCACACATACACTTGCCCCGGGCAGAAATGTCACAGACATTAGGCAACTCAAATCTAATCTGTACTCAGGGGAGTTGATTTTGAGATAAGCCAGTCGCGATGAATCATCGTAATGATTCTGCTTTAAGTGTTGTGGGTTAGATGAGACACACCTGAGCCAACTGGATGTCTAATTCATATCGGGAGTTCAAGTATAAGAATGATGTAGCCAGACACACATTACATCTCACCTAGAATATGAATCGTGAAACAGAATATTCACAAGATTTTCATCTGTATCAGATTTTCAATAGGGAGTATAATATTTTTCAATAAGGAGTTTTTGTTTGAGGAATGATTCTTACTCATCCATTGCCGATCTAGTTGTTCTTATTTCCATTGCATCAATCGATCTGAAATGATCAAATCAAGCTTCTCCCAGGTAGAGAAGAAAATTGACACAAATCCGACGATCATGAGGCTGCCCAAATGATTCATGCTGACTGCCAGATGTGATGCAATACAGGGATACCAGCTACCTGTGAATAACCGTTCACGTTTATACCTACGTTGGTCCTTTCACAATTTGCAATGATCTAGACACAGTCCGTACTCTACTACTTTGAACAAACGAGTAGTCCCAAATTTAATCGAAATTTTCTACCACCTTGATAAATCTGTATGCGTGATCATCAAATCTGTTTGTTCGCTCAAATCGAAGTGGGAACACTACAACTGAAATCCCTATTCATATAAGAAATAGAAGAATAGGAGAGGAGAAACCAGAAGCTCACTCCCCACTTCGTAATTAGAAAGCTAACTTTACTTTGGAAAATAGAGTATTTGCTTGATAAACGTAGGTTATTATTATCACTCGTATGACATTCACCAGACATGTTCAACGTAAAGAAAGAAGCATTACGTTGAATGACATGCCTGTGTCCTACCTTTTAACTGACAGATTCAAAAATTTATATTCGAGATAAACAGGTGCACGGATTGTATTGCAAATCAACAGGAAGGAAAGCGATAGACAGGATTAAGAATCAGCTTTCCGTAAGTAAAACTGAATTATAAGAGAAAATAAGTTTGATTACCGCTTGTATGAGTGGTAACTGGCGATTTATAAATCTTGCTCCGGTTCATGTATAATGCATATGATAGTCGTCCTTGTATTAGAATGACAGTATCATGAAGTTATTACTCATTAGTAGTCATTCGATAATAGCCAACCGAAATTGGATATCCAAAAATAGGATCAGCAGATAAATGTCGATGATAACCAACAAACAGCACTGGGCATATGTTCGTCCACACCGAACATCATGAACAGTGAATGATACATGTGGAAAACCGAATGGTCTAATCCAAACATTGATCAGCTAAAGTGTTAACGTACATTTGTTTCCTCAAGACAAATTATTTACCAGGTGCAATTTCGCCATAATAGTTGGTGGTGAATCTCTCAAAAGATTGATGCGGAAACCGATGATTATCTACTCTAAGTCAGTAAACCGGGTGACTGACGTTTGATTTAAGGACTGTAGACATCTTATACTTTGGGGTCTGACTAAAGCTGACAGGTCACAGTATGGGTTACTATTGAGATGATTAATACGATAAGGACTCAATTTATTGAAGCTTTTGTGATTCAGTCCTTTTGGATCATCACGCCACGATACCGCAAACATGCTCTGAGGGATCTAGCTTGCAGCACAACGATCGGCACACTATCTTGTTCCTAATCTCAATAGCAACCGCAAAACGGAATAAAATTTTTACCACAAGAAAGTTGTAAAATAAATCCAGTGCGTGAGTGTGGGGGGAGGCTTCAGTTGTGAAACCGCCTAAACATTTAAATAGATCCATGTGGTAAACACAAAAAATACCTTTGATATGGGATCAATGGAAAGGGGAAAGAATGCTGATATTGCGTAGTTTCTTAAGTCTGAACTGATCACAGTATCCAGGGAAAATCGATAGATAAACGCACACATTCACACATGTTGCAAACGTGAATCCAGTTTGTCGATTTAGTGGCACTGAATACTACTTCCCGAACAAAGTCAATAAGAATTTTTTAAAGCTCATTCAGAAAGAACAGTTTGGATCTTAGAAACGACTAAGAATAATTACAATAAACAATTCAAATTTATGACACATTCGGCTTGTGAAAAATTACCGTACCACATTACAGTGTAACATTTACCTCCAAAGCTCATTCGACAAAAGTGTTCAAAAGCAATATACCTCTCTCTATGTATTGATTATGCTGAACTGATCAATGGCAGTGTGCAAACATGAGGTGTTTTTCCGAACCAAGCTTACCTTGACAGATTTGTGAAAATGTTAATATTGGGATCTTTCCGGGTCAGTTCAAAGGTCAGTGCAACGTGATGACTTTCTAACACGGCTCTGGAAGTATAAGAAAAGGAAAACAAAGCAGTAAACAAGCGAAGACGAAAAATGAATTGCACAGATGCCTGTATGCATCCGATCTGGGAGCCGGCAGCCCATCTCATGTCATTTGGTCTCAAGACTATGGTTGAGTACAAAACAAAACCACGCTTTGTCATGAATGACCTCTTTCATCCACAGACGATTATTCACTACCAGCTTGATGCATTCCGAAACGGTCGAGGAAGAATCAGAAACTTCGATAATTCAGTCAAAAGTTTGTTTGTTTTAAATTTTGTACAATAAAATCAATGGGACATTTCTCGCTCACAATCCGACTTATGACTACCGGGTTCAAACAGTGGTAGAAGTCCTGTGATGGGCATAGTGGAAGTAACCCAAATTGGCCCGTCGCAAAACACTCTCCCTTATAATATTCAAAGCATACCTACTATTGTACCATCGATCCCTACGATCCGCATGTTATGGTTAGCCACATTGCACCTGGTTGAGAACTGAAAACTTTAACTCTATTTTCTGAAAACTAATTCGATCTATACAGGATAATACAGATTAGTTGGTTGATAAATCACTGAGAACAGGTTCCATCGGTGCTTGATGTCAACACCTGACTGTGATTAAACTCCAGCTGAGCAGTTTCTAGCACGAATGTGAACCGGTGGATTAGAATTCAGATTGTACCATCCCAGCGAATTCACAGACCACATGGCCTCCATATAGTTGTTCTGGCTTGTTTTGCATTCCCTTCATAGTCCCTAGATATGAACCAGTTTCCGAGAGGTGATACGCGCTTCAGGCAATGGTATATATTTCCCGCCGTTGGTGAATTCGTGGATCCATGCCATCTATGTGGCTCAGACATAAAGGCTTCATCTCTCAAACACAATATCTTCAGTCTCAATTCAACCGGAAAAAAAGAAGTACATATGAATCCAATCAATTGCATTCCAATGGGAACCCCACAAGATGATTTGTGTTTCCGACGGTAAACGTCATCGATTGGACCGGGCCTGTCTAAACCCCGTCCAGTCCGAGTGAACTAACTTCTCGGAAAACAAACAAAAGTACTATTTGAATGAGTTACCGAGCGAGGATGAGTTTCCGTGGGCTGGGGTGGAGTGGGCTGTCTGTCCCCCTCCTTGACCCACCCGGGAACATTATGTCCGTGATCGTTGATCAGGTGAACGAACCCGGCGCTAATTGGCCTCTGTCGGTCGAGTAAGAGCGAATCATGTCAAGATGGATCGGTAAATCGGTCACCGTGCCCAGACGTGAATGTGGGGATGAATCATTGCATGAGTGGAGTCAGTCTAGAACCTCAACAACCCAATGAGTCAATTTCATCGAGACTGATTTTCTCTCGAATTGCTTCGAACCGAATGAACTTGGCTACATATTTCTGGCATTGAAATACACACATGATAATATACTTAGCATGTATGAGCTGATGAATGTGATTATCGCAGTCAGATTTTCCCGTCGAATCACTCGCCACATAGATCAAAGATGAATCCTCCGTCCACAATGAGAGTAGATCCAACTTTTGGTGATTATTTTGACTGGACTCGGATAAACCCCGGTAGTTGATAGTTTGTACCGTTTGCACCCCAAAGAAAAGCAAAATATCGGACAACCCAACCTGATGTACCGGTTTTACATGATCATTTGGTTTTAACAATGCGTGAACTGCCTGCCTTGATTTGCCTTTAATCACCACTTGCCCTGGAAAATACCGCCTACCGACGGACTGCTTCTGTACGAAATTATCCACAAATGCAAAGCGAAAATCCAACCTACTGTAATCGTAAATGTGCTTTAAATTCTACGAAATATTTTATGTACCAGGCACACTGACTTCAACTATGATAGAACTTTCTGACTTACATCTCCCATTCACAAAAAAGGTTCAGTGATTGAAACAAAGAATTACCGATGAAAAGTAGTAAAAATCAAGCATTTTGATAGTTGTCAGACCATGTACAAGAACACGATTAGATGCGTGCTTCACCTCACTGTACAATGATGATGATGACGATGTAATGAGTTTCTCTACATCGTGATTCGATAATTTTTTGAGGCGTCTTTCTCTGTGGATTAATTCTGACGTTTCCTCCTAATGTCTTCTTATGCATATCATCGCCATCCTTTTCTTCACCGCAGATGATGCAGCGACAACCAACCAGTCATCACTGTTGAATGCCAGTAGTATGCTATCCTTACACTCCATTGCTAGATGCCACAGCACGGGTATTTGGTTATAAGAGTTAAGTAAACTAATCCATTTATAATTATATTTTTAACAATAAACCTAAATTTCCAATGCTCCTCTTCATTATCGCAACTACAACACAGTTGCCTGATCATAATTCAAAGAACTATGGTTGCCACTACAAACCCTTTTGCCCGTTTTCTTGTTTCCAGTTCATTATTTTCCAACAGATTAACTGTTGCGTCATCCAAGATATTAGATTGTATCACCGGATGACAACGGTTGACGCAGTTACCACCATAATGAGATTAAATAAGTTCAATAGATTTCTCATTCACATTGTGAAGTGGGATGTAAGAAAATGTGGTTTCTTCATCTGAACGAACAGTCCGACTTATATATCTCTTCAAACATTTACATATGTAGTTCCGTTTGTAAGTAAATTATTACAAATAAAAACAGGCAATTTTACCTGTGAAAAATGCAAAAGTTTCTACAAACCGCACTGGTTCAGAGTGGAGTAGATATAATCCAAAAGACACCAGTGACTGCAGAGCGGTTAAGTAACAATGTGAAAACGATTGTCTTCAACCGCTCAGTTTAGTTCAGAGTAAAAGAAATGTAACTGTTTTCCATTTTTGTGATATATAGCTCATTTACACAAACTTTCGTGGTACCACTCATCCGGGAACTATACTGCAAAGTGGCATCCGCGGTGCCACTGGATCTTTTCTCTTATCCAACATTCAATGGCTTCGCGGATGCCCCTTTGTAACATTTTTCTGGGATTCTTCATGAATTCGTCAGTTTTCCTCATGCAGTAGAAAATCACAGATCTGTACTGGGGCAACCGTGGGTAGAATATTTAACCCAACTCAGCTTTATATCCCATGGAGCACCCAGTAAAAGGTTATCTTCGTTTATGGGATCATGGATAACTGTAACTCATTCTTATCACCACCTGTCTCATTCACTAAAATATCAGGATTGAACGGATGCAATCAGGTTGTGAAAAGATGCGACGGGTGGATCAATGATACAATAAGGATAAGAACCCATGCGAAGAAGCTGAGTAGCGAAAGAAGAAGCTGCAGGTGACAGATTGCTGCCATTGGCATTTTGGATTGAATGTAATAGTCAGCCCAGGAATGACAGAAAAAAATGTGATTTCTGTTTAGGATGTCCGAGTATCAATTTAAGATGTCATGTTGCTATGTAGATAGTACCTTGCACAGTACAGAGTGAAAACGTTCGATGGGACCCCTGTTTACCCAGATCCATGTGCATCCTACCTGCATATTGATCTATGCCCCCTGAAAATATCGTCCCACGCTCAACGAAAATATGCGTCGAAGATGGTCTTGTCTGTTTGTTTGCACACACAGACTGCACAACGCAACCCAGTCAGGGCTATGCCACTATATGCAAACCGACGAATGCTTGGTTGAATACGAAACAAAAAGGAGAGCTTTAGGGTTTGGTGGGGTCTCCCATACGATGACCACATTTCTCACTTGACTCAGCAAACGAGCAATTGACTGAACAGTGCTCATGGTCTCATGATGAAATGTTCACGGTACAAAAGGGGTGGTAGTGCACAACGTGAAATGGGGGTTGAACGTTTGCAATCGTCGGTGTACATTTTTGTTGAGCGTGGGAAGATATTTTTGGGGGCCACAGATCAGTATGCAGGTAGGATGCACATGGATCTAGGTAAACAGGAGTCCCATCGAACGTTTTCACTCTGCGCTGTGCAAGGTACTATCTACATAGCAACATGACATCTTAAATTGATACTCGGACATCTTAAATTTCCATTGTGACATCTTAAACTGAAAAATGTATAGTGAGCAGGTTCGAATTCGATCTTATTACTCAGGCGAAACACCAGTATTATTTCACTGTACCCTTGTACCACTGTCAAGTATCATGTGTGTATTTCAATGCCAGAAATATGTAGCCAAGTTCATTCGGTTCGAAGCAATTCGAGAGAAAATCAGTCTCGATGAAATTGACTCATTGGGTTGTTGAGGTTCTAGACTGACTCCACTCATGCAATGATTCATCCCCACATTCACGTCTGGGCACGGTGACCGATTTACCGATCCATCTTGACATGATTCGCTCTTACTCGACCGACAGAGGCCAATTAGCGCCGGGTTCGTTCACCTGATCAACGATCACGGACATAATGTTCCCGGGTGGGTCAAGGAGGGGGACAGACAGCCCACTCCACCCCAGCCCACGGAAACTCATCCTCGCTCGGTAACTCATTCAAATAGTACTTTTGTTTGTTTTCCGAGAAGTTAGTTCACTCGGACTGGACGGGGTTTAGACAGGCCCGGTCCAATCGATGACGTTTACCGTCGGAAACACAAATCATCTTGTGGGGTTCCCATTGGAATGCGGTTTGTTGGAATAGCGGTGGTTTCACTCGAATTTACAACGGATTCACTTGAAGTTGATAAGGTGTGGTGTTTTGCAGTTAGAACCAAATAGCTGACGTGAGCTGATTATACATAATCACGCCACTGCATTGCATATTAACAATTTCCATGACTTTATTGCTTAGCTGAGAGATATTCATGAAGTCTACAACTGTAGGATTGGTCAGGTAGCTCAGGTGAACGCTATACAAAAGAACATTGGCGGTATCCACCAGAGGCTGTTTAAGCCCATTTGAGTCCCCTGTCATTATCATAACTGATTTAACTACAAGGGTGATTAGAGAGGGGGGGGGGTAATTAAAGACACAGATTATGTT